GTGGGCAACCATTTCTCTGGGATGGTATGAAGATTCCTGTCCTTGGCTAGGTGTTGGGCTAGGAGACCTCCAAGGTCCCTTCCAACCCTATGATTCTAGGTCTAACCCAGTATTTCTCAACCTTGGCAACGTTAAGATATGTGGACTTCAACGCGCAGAATCCCCCAGCCAGCATGTATCCCTCAACCAGTATATATCCCCTAATATACATCTTTTTACAAGTAATTTTCTGTTTTTGTGTATGTGTGTGTACAATTTTGTTTTAGCGTACTTTTATGTTGCTTTAGGAGCAATTCAAATTCAAAATTGAGAGATGTGCAAAAACAAACAAATTCTCATTGGGAAACCTGTGAATTGGGATGGTTTGTATTAAAGTATAAACTAAATGTCCTTCCCCATTCTTAGCCATTTGGTTGTCCCTTTGAGCTAAGTGTGGAGCCATACCTTGTAAACTTCCTTCACATGAGAAAAATTTAAAAAGCAACAACATCTACATTGGTAAGATAGCCTGTATTTCCACTCTGAAGGAGTGAAAACCTTTTCAACATTCTCTCATAACTTCAGGTTGCTGATCCAAAACCAAAATGGGTTGATGAGGATATAGACACTTTCATTAACTGCACCTTTGCTTTTCCAACTTTAATCGTTATAGGAATGAATTTGGGGAAGGGAAATTGCAAAACTCAAGGAGGAGATGAATTCTTTTCTTCCCACCTATTATCTTTCCCTTTTCAAGTGGTCTATTGGCAATGGAATTTGACCCAAGACTCTTCCATGGATTCCAATGAGGTACTTAAAAAAAAAAAATCTGGTTAATGAAGATAGCTGAGGATGGAGAGACATAAACTATCACCTCTAAGTTCCTGACCTGCCCCAATTTGTCAGTTAATGGCACTCAGAACATCTGGAAAAAAAATACTGTTTTGTCAAATGCCATTCATTCTGCACAGTGAGACACATGTGAGAGGAATACATCACATTTTTGAAAAAGATACCATGACAGATGCTGCCTTTGAATTTTCTTCAAATAACTTTTAGTCTGACAACCAGAAGAGAATCATTCTCAAAGCTTTGTTCCAGATATAACAAAGGTATGCAATTTTATTGCTAAAGGAAAGACTGCATATAAAGAAATGGGTTTAGACAACATCCTCCTTGGATGTCTTGCTATGCAAGAAGTGTTTAGTACACAATAGAAGAACTCCTGTTAATGGTAAAAATAGTAACAGGAAGTGCTTGAAGAGGGAGGTATGGTGCCCGTGAGCTTCCAAGTGTAATTCAAGATCATGATTATCATGTATAAAGCCCTTTATGGCACAGGGTGCAGTCTGGTTATTTCTGGGACTACCTGTTTCTTATTACCTCTGCCTGCCTGATTAGATCTAACAGGGTTGGCATGCTCCAGGTCCCATCACGTAAGCAGTAAAATGTTCTCCTTATTGTGATTTGGGAAATATTTAATTATGTTTTTATGCACCTATTAAACATCCATCCCTTCACCCAGCTCTTCTCTGTGGATTGTGAACATTTTCCTCCTTCCTGCTTTGGATAGTTTTATAAGCCATGTTTTAAATTTACTGTCATTTCATTCATTGTATTTCAATACATTTTCTTCTATGTACATTTTGAGACATGCTCAACATAGGAATGCATATAAAATGTATTTAAAAAATACATTTATATCATTGATTGATTCAGAATGTAGCAGCCAAACAGTATGAGTTGAATAAATGAATCCAAATTCAAAATAGTGTATTGTGGTAGTATCACTATAAGCAGTAGTAGAAATATTCTACAAAATGGATTTTAGGATTCCTAGGATAATGTGAGGATGACAACTATCAGTAGTATTCATATCATAACTTGACAAGTAATACCAATGTGTAGTATCTGGTAACAAACATTCTTACACTTACAAATTAAACTGTCCCTTGAACTCATAAAAATGTAATGCTGTTATAATCTATTTACTTATTTATATTTCAAATTTGTCACTGCCCATCTCACTGCACAGAGATAATGGATTCATGCTAATTATTTAGTTATCTTGATAATACCAAGCACAAAATATATGCTTTAATTAATATCAATATCTGTATGTCTATAAAAACACAATTAAATTTAGAAATACATCTTTCCTATAGTGTTAAAGAAAGAACTCATAACTATTTTATGATAAAAAGGATTAGGCGTTCCAGCATAAATCTAGTAGGATTTTGGTTCATTTTGCTTAAAGGGTTTATTCTAATCCTACCTTGAAATTGCTCATCCTCAGAACTCACCCATTTAGAAAAAGCAGCATAATCTTTATTTTAGTTGAAACAAAACAAAACCTTCTACTTTCAGAAGCATAATATTTAAAAATTAACATACCAATTGTATTATATTAGGTTTAATATACAATTTGTACATCTATTTGGAAGGAAGCTCTATTGAGTTCAGCAGAGCTTATTCCCTAGTAAGAGGGTTTTGGATTGCAGCGTTAAGCTTTCACTGAAGGAGAATAAGCATTTCTGCAGAGGCAAGATGCAGATTCAAATTTGGAAATTTAACACACTCCATTTCCAACATTTGTCTCATTGCAGAACTCCATACTGGTATGATTTCTTGATTTGTGGTACCATACTGCCTCATCTTAAGTGCTGTGATCCTTAACTGCACAAAATGAATCTTTGGATATGATGACATTAATCATTTACAAGGGCTCATATTCTTATATATAATGCAATGTAACTTAACTTCCCTTAGTTAATAAGCACAAATTTAATTCTCTTCCACTGAAATAGAATCATTGGAAAGGAAAGTGGAGACTAAATGGATTTCAATCAGCAACATGACTGTGGGGAAGAATAAAGCCTGCCCTTTACAGTAAGCTGAGTCAGATGGGATAAGTTACAGACCTGGTTCATATACTAAGCTAAGCCATGGCTTATTTAACTATTGCCTGTTAATTAAGATATAACTGACTGGATTGGCAGCACCTGCTAAGCCAAAATCAAATGACATTGTGATTTAGTACAATTTGTGGAGTCCTTGGTGCTCTCTGAGCTTGGTGGTTTGCTTGCAGATGTTTCATTACTCAACTAAATAACATCATCAGTATGAGTGAGTGTGGGCTTTGTTTTGTTTATATATAGTAGCTTGCCCTGCCAGGTTTTCTCCTTGGTAGTTCCTTGATTAGGGTATTGTTTTCTGCTTGATTATTTGCCTGGTATTAATCCCTGCTTATCTGAGTGTTGTCTGCTGGAGAGGATGTGTTCTGGTCTTTTTGTTTCCTTCTTAGCTTTTTTACTGTCTCTTTCAAATGGTGTGTAAATATGGTTTATCTCTATGTGTCTATTGAAGTCTGATTTGTCTCAGTGCCAAGCTTCCAGGAATTCCTTAGTGTTTTTGGATTTGGCTTGGTCTAAGACGCTAACAGTTTCCCAGTTGAAACTGGCTGAGTCTGTCCATGTGTTGTGAGATTGAGTTTTCATTGTGTCTTCTGACAGCTAGTTGGAGTTCACGGATATGCTCTGCTAGTATTCTGCCTATCTGTCCTACATCGTGGCTGTTACAGTCCTTACACTGTATGTTAGCGCAATTTGTCAGTGCAGCCACAGTTTTAGTTCTGCATCAATACTGCAAAATTTCATGCTCTCCTGTATAGAATAACTGCAGTTGAGGAAAGCAGATATGGGGCATTGGGTTTCTAGGTATATGCTGTACAATGAATTAGTATCTTAAACCCTCTTCCCCTCAGGCATTATATTTCAGTCATTAAGCAATATTTGTAGGCTTATTTCCAAAATCTAGAAAAACTTTCAAACTGTTTTGCTCCTCAAGTTCAACAACACTGCAGACAATGTTTTGTGAAATACGTATGACAGAATACTCCTCAATTCACTGCTAATAAAACAGCAATAAGAACAAAGAAGTGTGATGCAGAAATAGAAAATGTGATATTTTTTTTATTGCACATACAAACATCTCAATGAACATGCATAGTCCCTCCTTTGTAAAAGAGTATTTTATAAAAAAAAGTTATTTTATATTGAGTGAATGTTTTTGTACAATATGCTAAACTATAGACCAGTGTTTCTCAACTTCAGCCACTTTAAGATGTGTGGACTTCAACTCCCAGAATTCCCCAGCCAGCATTGGCTAAGGTTGAGAAACACTGCTATAGACTATGGTAACTACAATTCTGGGAGTTGAAGTCCACACATCTTAAAGTGGCTAAGGTTGAGAAACACTGCTATAGACTATGGTAACTACAATGGCTGAACAGCAAACACCATAATTCAAAACAAAACACAACATCTAATAGCTTAGTGAGATGAATGAACCTCACCAAATGGTTCACTCCAACATATTCTGCCTAGAATTGTCTGAGAGTCCCCAGTGGAAATAATTTCTCCAGAGATCCTTTTAACCAAAGATACTGAAGCCTGGGCATCTTCTCACCAGTTTAATGTAGACTTCGACTTTACTAGAAATATAATTACTGAAAGTATGTATCCTCCGCATTTGTAGTTTACTGTATGTGGGCCAAGAAATAGCAAATCAGTCATTGAAGAAAAAAAAAGTGAAATATTAACATCCTCAGGAAAATCGCAACATTTATAAAAGTTAAAAAAGGCTTTAAAAATGCTCCACTCCCTATCCCCAGTCCAGTTAGGATTGAACATGCTGCAGTAGCCACAGTATCAGTTGGAGAAGCAAACTGGAAAATCGAAAGGAACAGGGCAGGTTTGGCAGCCACCTGACAACCTGAATTTTGTTGCTGTCCAAATTGTTACTTAGATACCAATCCATAAATTTACATAATACTTCATTGTTAGATTACAGGAAGGTTTTAAAGGTTATCTTTCTGTTCCATTTTTTAAAACCCAGATCTACTTTTGAATTAGTAGTGACATAGTCAAGATTTCCAGAGTTGGATTCATAAGGAATACTTTGCTCACCCCCGTCTATCGCCCCATTCCCACTGCTATGAAGAGCTGTTAATACTACCATACCTTACTAAACTGTTAGCACTGTCTGGATCTTGTGCTGTTACTGTGCCCACAGTAGTCCCAATCTTTGCATTTTCGTAAACATCCATGACATAGAATGGAAGAGTGAATAACGGCGCCTCATCCACATCTCCCACAACGATCTTCAACATAGTCACATCTTTAAAAGGTCCTAAATGTGAGAAGCGGAAATCGAGGTGGGTATTTGCTCCTTCTATACTAAGAGTATAGGATTTCTTTTTTTCATAGTTGAGTGGCTGTGGGAAGAAAAGAAATGGCACATTACTATGGTGAGTGGTATTTTAACTCTCAGTATAAAATGCATTCTTTCGTTACCTCGCGTGCACTGCCAGGTATGTTTCCTGTATAGCTTCTGAGATGTTTACAAAATGGTTCTAATGATAACAGCTCCCTTATGATATCTAACACTTTAGGGCTAGATTTATAATAGCTTTGTTAATACTTCTTTTAGTTTAACAACTCTGTTTCCTTTTGTGTGAAACTGTTGAACAAAATACTTCACTGTATTTGAATCCATTTAAGGCATTTGCTCTAAGGGTTCTTTTGCTGTGACAAACTTCCAGTCCATCCCATTTCCAACAGTGCAGTGTTAACCATCACCGGCTAACCTTGAGCAGCAAATGTGTGGTTTGCATTCATACATTAAGAAAAGATGCTCATTTTTTTTTCCTTCCTGCTTATTGTGCTGTATTGGGACATGGGCGTGGGGAGCAGAGCTCTGAGGTTTCTATGGATTGAGCATTTAGTTGGTTAATCTGGCAATCTGTTACAAAAATATAACAAGAATCTTCAAAGGTGCCTTGAAGATGCATAGGAAAAGCATGCCATTCTGTGTAGCTTTTCCTGGAAGTAAGCTTGAGTGATCCTAAAAAAATTCCTTCTGAATAAACATGCACTGGGCTTAGTTATTGGCCACAGCATTCTTACGCACATGGTTGCCTTTGAGACCTTTGCCTGGTTGACAACCCAGAGATGCAATTAAAAAACAACAAACAAACAGTATTTGTGGCACAAACATGCCCTAGTAACCTTTTTGTGTGTTTGTGTGGGTTTGTGTGCCTTGTCCCATGAGATTATCTTTTTCCTGATGCCCAGCCTATATTGTTCTCATTGGCAACAAAATCATTACATAACGATATTATGTAATAGTTTAAAACCATGTATCTTGAACTAATGTTCAATAGATTCAAAATTATTTGGAGGAGATATAAGGGAGTGGATTATTTAAAACTGTAAGATGCCGAGAGTCCCAGGTATGGCTGGAAACTGAATAATTGCATTAGGACCTGACATCTATTTGCATAATAACAATAGCATGTAGGTAATAGTAATCCTGATCATGCATGACTTGTTTACATTCCTCATAACCATATGATTATCTGATTTGGGTCAAACAAACCAGCCCAAATCAGATTATTTCTGCTTTCTCATCATGGGTGATCAGGGTCTTAGTGTGATTCAGGAACAATCTGTCCCTTGACTACTGCAACTACTGTGGTGGCAGCCACTGATTTGTAATGTATTGCTTTTTTTTTTTTTTATGGATCCTTGACTGTTCCTTCAATAGAGGCGAATATGTGTAGCTCAGGGTTGAATTGTGGAGTCCTTGGGGTTCTCTGAGC